AATTTTTGTGATGGGCGATTCGGCTCTTTGTATTAAGCAATGCATAAATACATGATGCTGTTTTGTTCATAATTGTTTATGCAATTTACGAAATTATATTTGATTTATATGAGTTAATTTAGACGTAATGCACGGTTTTCTATAGACAGTTCTTTCCTTGCGTTGACAATTTAATGTGGTGCATTATTTTGCTCATTGCGCCCCCCTCATGTGGCCTCGGGAAACAAGACAAAAGTTTAACCTATTTAATCTGCACATAAAACATTAGAAATTAGATATTTGTTTAATTTGTATTTTGTATTTGACTGTTAAAACAAAAAAAAATGTGGTGTTTGTCTAAATAAATTGAGTTAATTTAAAAATACAGTGGTTAAATGTAAAAGTTTTTTCTATTGCTCTTTGTTTTAAAAAAGGTTATAAAAATGTCAATAATTATCAATACCGAACAATATTAAACATTATATCGTTGATACATTTTTTTTAGCTATATCGCCCAGCCCTAGTTTGAGACTATAGTTGCAACCACAAAGCTATGCGATGCAGTTTGCAAATGTTTGTTTGTTTCGGGAAGCGCTGAATCATTGAACTGTGTTGGTAACAACAAACTTGCGACCATCCATGATGAAGGACACCCTGATGAAGGCAAGTTAGCCGCAATGCGTCGGTGCACATGTGTGTTGTTTTTAGTGTTGAAGCCACGTGAATAAAGGCTTTTGACTTTTTCACAATATTTTCAAGTGCCTTGGATTGATGAGTTTTTGTTTTTTTACTTGCGGCCATAGTTTGATGATGCTCTTGGGAAATGCTCTCCTGAAAGAGAAATTTACAGGCAGCAGACAGTTTACACTAATTGCCACTATGGCACCTCTTATGGTAATGCTGAGAAAGCAGCTTGTGTTGAGTTATGAATTGCTGCATTTCACAATACCTCTATGTAGAGTATGTTTTGTGCACAAATCAAACAGTGCATTTATTCACCAGTTTCTATTCAATTGCACATTTTGTCTGTCTGTCAGTATTATCCAGGCATCTGTCATCACTAGGGTTGGGTAGGTAACAACAAACTTGCGACCATCCATGATGAAGGACACCCTGATGAAGGCAAGTTAGCCGCAATGCGTCGGTGCACATGTGTGTTGTTTTTAGTGTTGAAGCCACGTGAATAAAGGCTTTTGACTTTTTCACAATATTTTCAAGTGCCTTGGATTGATGAGTTTTTGTTTTTTTACTTGCGGCCATAGTTTGATGATGCTCTTGGGAAATGCTCTCCTGAAAGAGAAATTTACAGGCAGCAGACAGTTTACACTAATTGCCACTATGGCACCTCTTATGGTAATGCTGAGAAAGCAGCTTGTGTTGAGTTATGAATTGCTGCATTTCACAATACCTCTATGTAGAGTATGTTTTGTGCACAAATCAAACAGTGCATTTATTCACCAGTTTCTATTCAATTGCACATTTTGTCTGTCTGTCAGTATTATCCAGGCATCTGTCATCACTAGGGTTGGGTATCGAAAACCGGTTCCAAATTTCCAAGAACCGGGTATTCGATAAGATGCGTGCATTTCGATTCTGCTTAACGATTCCTGCATTTGAGTTTTAATGTAATTAAAAACGATTTAGGTGCAGGAACGGAAAGAACTTGTGCCCTGTTTGCGTGCAGCACACACGAAGCACAAGCGCGAGCATAGAGAACAGAGGTCGCCGTACAGGTTCCCGGTTTGTGTCCGTTCTCGAACCGTTCCATGTATTTCTACTGTAGAAAAGGTTGTTCCGGGCCGAAACTGACTTCTTTCATATTTGTCGACCAATGTGCAGAAAACTACGTCAGTATATCATCACAAACACAGCCGTTTTTGTCTTAAGTGAACGTAAACGGATGAGAAAGAAAACGCAGGTGTACAGTATTTTTAGATCTGCGTGCGTTCGGTGTTAAAGAGACAGCAGCCTAATAAACGCGCTGCCTGTCATTAATGTTAATCAAAGAACAAAAGAAAATCATTCACTGATCTTGACTGAATATATTTAATAACTTTAATTGATTAATCTATATTTTATTTATGAAAAGAAATCTATACAGTGTTTTTAAACTTTTAATTACAGTTTCTGTACCTGAAATTTTGTTCAGTTATATTTATTTATGATATTGCTAATTGATTTGTTTGTTCCTATCTTATTACTGACTGTTTTCTTGTCTTTAACACTTTCATATTTGAAATTTATATTAATCTAGTTGTTTTTGCTGTGGTATTTGTTTTTTAAAGCATAGGCAAAATTCCTCTTGCAGTGTTCTGTAGGCTGCTGATATTTGCTCGTGTTATTCAGCTGCAACAGAATGCTTTGTAAAAAGACCGAATAAATGTTTGACATCTAAATGTTTGACTTAATTTTTTTTATATTGGATTTTTTTATCTTATTGGAATCGAAACTAGGAATCAATAAGCAGAATCGGAATCGATACAATTCAAACGATACCCAACCCTAGTCATCACAAAGCTTTTTTCTGGTTGTTATCAGTCAAGTAGAGCAGGGTCATCCAGCATTCATTCTCTACCTGTAGGCTTCAAATCTTGGCTGGTTCATGCTTTACAGTAAAGAAGAAAGAGCAAGTTTGCTGCAGGGTGTGTTTGTGTATGTTTGGGTTTTCCTTTGCCTCACGTTCACAATGAAAAATGGAGTCTGGTCTGCTAGACTTTGAAGATAATGGCCTCGTCTACAGAAAGGTTTGTGTCCCGAAGTGTTGAAATGTCAAATTCCTGACAACAGCAGTGAACTGGAATAAAAAAAAACAGCAAATTTGTTAAAGAGATGTAACATATTTTTCACCAAGACGAGAAAAGAAAGATCCGAAAGCCAGTATAAACATGAAATACGTGCAGAACACGTGTATGGAGAGGTCTAGTTGTATTTACAGTAAAGAAGAAAGAGCAAGTTTGCTGCAGGGTGTGTTTGTGTATGTTTGGGTTTTCCTTTGCCTCACGTTCACAATGAAAAATGGAGTCTGGTCTGCTAGACTTTGAAGATAATGGCCTCGTCTACAGAAAGGTTTGTGTCCCGAAGTGTTGAAATGTCAAATTCCTGACAACAGCAGTGAACTGGAATAAAAAAAACAGCAAATTTGTTAAAGAGATGTAACATATTTTTC